CGAGACAATGTAATCAAAATGCATTCCTTGATTTATAATCAATTACAATCTGAAATTTTTATGCCTATGATGAAATACGCATGGTATGCTTGTACATATACTACGGAAAAAGTTGAATTTAAAAATGTGGCCGAAATATTATTCAGTTCTAATTACGAAAAGTGTGAAAGTGATTTGTGCCCGTCAGAAAAATTCATAAAGTGTGCTCACTGCAATCTACATTTGTGCTTCGACCACTTTTTTGTCAAAAACCATTATCACCCGGTGATCACCGCAGAAGATTCAGCTGTTCCAAATTCACAGTAATATAGGTAGGTATATTTATGGCCTTCATTTAGTCTGATATGTTTTGGAAATTTTGAATTACAAGCCTACAAATAGTAAATTGTAAAGATATAGGAAAATCCCTTGTGAGTAGATCGGTTGAGATTTAAGTGAGATGAGTGGGGAGCGAGTGGTGAAAAGCGTTCCTCTTTTGAAGGCATGGGCGAAAGTGACCGTTCGGCGCGTCACTATAGTCGTCACAACTTGACGAAATGTCATTTTGACACGGAAATTTTGTCACATCATCCGACTAGTATTAAAATCTACGTCGAATGTACATAGTGGTGATGCTGGGAGCTCCGGGCACTATAAGAGGTTCCCTCGTTAGATTGGGAATTTTATATTGATAAGGAATAAAGTGATGCATATTTACTTAATTCTTTCAAATGTTATAAGTCTAATATTATTATGTGCATTCAATTCAGAAGTTAGGTAATCCTAAAATTCAAATTTTGAAAATTTTTTGAAAACACATTTCCAAATTCAAGAACGTTACTGAGGAGGACAACCCTTCACCGACAGAATCACCGATTTTGATGCCCTTTGGATATGTTGTAGTCGTAGGTGAGTCTAGCAAAAGTGAAGAAGGATTTCATTCAATGGCCCCATTTGCGCCCGCCACACCCACTCAAAGGTGCCAAAAACACGAAAAATACCCTGTTTTCGTTCATTCAAAAAATCACTAAAAATCTAGTTTTGATCGGATTTTCATAATTTTAGCGTTTTTGTGATCTTAGATAGTTGCTTTATCATATCCAATAGCTAACTCAATTTCTTTGAAATTTTGATTTTTTCGAAGGGATACCCTTGGTCAGGAAATTTTCGAAAATACTTATACAATTATTTTAAATACAATTATTTTACAGTTATTGTTACAATTATTACGTTATAATTGTGTTACAATTATTTTTCTCTCAAAATAATTGTTGGGTGACGATTCCCCGTACCTTTTTGGACTTGCCGCTCCTCAAATTTGTCAGATATTTGCGATTTTAGGAAAAACGCCACTTTAAAAAATTCTAATTTTTTTATCCAATGTTCTTCATTGGTTGACTGTTAATTTGAGACAATAAATTTTTTTCTTGGAAATATATCCAATTTATGAAAAATTAAAGAAAAATGTTGGGTTCCGGGGAATCGTAACTTTTGCGTAAGAGGGTACCGGGGAATCGAAGCCCGCTAAATCCTGCGACAAGTGGGTTCCGTTTCCCTGTAACTTGCATAACTAAAATGTCCAGGGGATCGGAACTTTTGGGTGACGTTTCCCAGGTACTAAGTTCCAATCCCCCGGCACTTGAACCAGACTGCTGGTGTTGAAATGAAATAATAGCAATTTGATACAAGTTTCTCCACTGTTTATTTTTCAGGATTATAAAACTATGTAAATAGTGATATTATGCACGGTATTTTACATAAGCACATACGTTTTCCCGTCGAAAATTTACACAATTTATAAATACACTTGTTCGCCTATACGCAAACCGGAATCTCTCATTCTCGAATAGTAATGCTTCCTTGCAAGTAAGGATTTTAGGGAATGTTTTTGAAATTTTGAAATTTTGGTATCTCCGCTAAGGAATAGTTTTGAGAAAAATTAAAAATTGTACAATATACATACTGCATACATATTTCCACAATATAATAATTGTGTAAACACCTATGTGTATTTTTAAGCCTTTTCCTACCATGGTAAATCAAGATAACTACTCATCAATAAAGTATTTCTAAAATGCATAGACGTATATATAAGATGCTTTAAAGCGTCATTTATTTAATTTTGTCTATAATAATCCAAATCCTGCCCCCCCAATCTTACCCCCATTTTATTGAAATGTTGTCGGAAATCGTGCTCCCATTTCTGAAACGAACTTTCTCCTATGCCGACCGATTTAGTTTGTTGTCGTTCACGTTTGACAAAGATGATCAAATTGTGACCGCCAGAAGGGGTAGGTCCGCCTTGTTGGACCGTGTAAGTTTCGTTGCATATCTGATCTACGTCGTGCTTCAACTGTACGGAATTTTGTGGCATAATGTTACCTCAGACCGGGTTACGAAGCTAAATTCTGCCCTTTTCTATCTACCGTATGTCGGCGCGCTTGTGGTCGCTTTCTATTGGGAGTCGAACCCAGGGATCCCACAAGTTTTGAATGTCATCACTAAGCGAAAAATCGAGCTAGAATTGAACAAAGGTAATTTCCTGGCAGGTACAAGTTAACTTTTATCAAGCAACTGATGGGTTGTCGAGGGTATAGCCGCAATAGACCATGGTCCAGTTGACAAAATGGTCCATCATGGACCACATCCATGGACCATGCACCACAAAAAAATGGGCCATCGACGGACCATGGACCAATTTATTTCGAGCTATGGCCCAGCGAGTTAAATATGTGAAAAAATCAAGCCAAAAATTAGGAATCACATGACACTTATCTTTCTGTTGAATACAATTTCTGTTCCTTGGAATAAAAACATTGGCGGCAAAGTTCAATTCTTTAGTAAGCTTTTTCTCGCTTTTTCCTCTAAAACAAAGGCGGGCATGTGAACTTTGCCCTCCAATATTTTTCGTCGAACTTACCATTCAACGGAAGGATAAGTGCCATGTGATTTCTGCTTTTTGGCTTGATTTTTTTCTAAAACTCGTCAGAAAATCCTGGTATAGCGTAGAAAAACTTTCAATTGTTCGAAACGTTCAAGGCGATATTCTAACCTTCTTTTTATCCCGACTAGATTTCATCCAACCTGGACAACGCATAGTCGAAAACATCACGTGGCTCCTCTTTTTCACCGTGAACATTGGATATTTCGCATTTCCCGCTGTTGTTGCAGCTCTAGTATTTTTTATTCCATGCCAACAACCATTTCTGGGTTCAATCGTGCTCCCACAGAGTTACTGCGACGCATCATCGAAATTTGTGCTTCTTGGTTTGGCCATATTTGAATTTGCCGCTTTATTCTACATGGCCATAATTGTCGGAATTTTTGTGGGATGCGTCCTCTTCGCGGGGATGATTCACTTATATCTCGAATCGGAAAAATTGTTTTGTAGTACAGACTCCCCGCCAAAATTGTCGCGACGAACGTACCTAGAACTCCAAGTGTTCGAGAAATTGTTCAATTCCTGCGTACAAGGTCGAATTTTCCCGATAATTGTGTTGGTTTGCCCCGCTGTACAAATTTTGGGAGGATTTGCGTCCGTTCGACTTCGTCAAGGTATTAACTCGTACCTGTTCATACTCATTCATTTAGTAGACATTGAAGTAATCATTCATTGTTCAATTACTTCATGAGTAATGATTGATTCTTTGTTTAATCTTTTAATGAATGAATATTGAATACATATTTATTCATTTAATGTTCATGAAGAATGAATGAAGAACTTTATTTATTAGTCATTTAAACGCTATGCCTCAATAATACATGGGTTAAATTGATGAACCCAGCTAATAAGGCAAATTAGCGATAAAATGAATTAAAAATGAATAATGAATAAATCTGTATTCTAAAATTTTGACTAAATGAATATCGAATGAATAATCTTTTGAAACGAATTTTTGAGCGAATAAATATTTTTTTGAACAGGTATTAACCCCCTGCAATTCGCCTTCATCGGGACGGAAACCTTGATGGTGACGGGATTTAATCTAGTCCTATTTTCCGGAGCGGGAAAAATTTACGCGGGTAGTGTGAAATGGTTGAGAGGCTGTAACGCTGGGGAAAATAGTCGCGTAAATAGGAAAATTCTAGCTTCGCTGACCCCTCTGAAAGTCAGTTTTGGTCAAAATTTTGTGGATGAGCTAACTCCACTGATTCTCCAGCAGTTTTGCACGAGCCAAATGGTTAATTTGTTACTGTTGTTTTAGATTTGATCACATATTTCGCATTCAAGCTATATATGCACACAATTTGATATTCATTTATTCAAATGAACCAATAAATTGTTCAGTGCTTTTTAAAATAAAATCATTAGTGAATATTTTTTGAAAAAGTTTAACTAACGAATATGACAAATTAAATTAAATTAAACAAATATGTATTGACTTCGTTTCTGTAAAGAATAAAAGATTAATTTTATTTAATTATTTTCATTTTCTACCCTACATATGCTGAATAAGTAAATTTTAAGGTATTTTGACTTATTGCTTTGTACATTTTACCACGGGCAATTTGCTAGGTCGATGGGCAGAATTCTTACCTTTACGGTAAAGGTAAGAACAGGTAAAGTTTACCTGTTGGTTATACACTAATAACGAGTCTGCAAGTGATTCATGCTAATATTTACATACATACTCCAACCCCACAATTCGTGCATATTCTACAATGCATGAACACATGTTCTTTATTAAATTCATGGCCAATTTTGTGGTTGAATTTTAATTGGAAGGTGTAATATGTGCTTCAGGTCAAAACTTGAATATGTACGTATTAGGACACTGCAAAAATCTGGGTGAATCTTACAAACGTGCAAAAAATTACACTACGCACATATCCGGCAGCATTTGTTCTCTTACAATCCACATGCCCGTACTAGGTACATTCATACGTCAAGCAGAAATAATTCAGCATGAATATTTACCCAGTAACAGACCACCGTATACAGAATAAATATTTGTACTTAGGATTAATCACAACGCTGGTACTTCTATGTTAGGTCGGTCCACAAAATGGTATAAAACTCCTTCTTTTTTGTGACACGTTATCACAAAAATTTCGGGAACTTTATGTGTCTGATCATGAAACCAGTTTTTCTCTCAGTCGCCGTATTGGCTTTGGTAGGATGCAGTTCTGCCCAAATACCTTTTCCACGTGGAACTTGTAGCGCGGCAAAACCTGGCATCCCGGCAGACATTGCGGTTCAACGAGAAGCCGCTCTACAAAACGGGAATGAGTTCAGAAGACGACATGGTGCTCAACCACTCACTGTGGACCCGACAGTAAGAAAATCGCTCTTTTTGTAAAATAAGACTAGCTAAATAATTTTTTAAAAAATGGTAGGTAAGAAATTTGGAAATTCCAGGAAACTAATTTTTAACATTTTCTTGTACACCGGTTATAAATCTGGTAGATTCACATAGATAGATATTCCGTACTGGTATTGATTTGGTAATAACTTCCTACCGGATTCGTAGTAATTTGTTCCTGAGTGGTAAATTTTTCATTTTCACAACCTTACTGAGCGGTGATTCCCGTTATTACCAGAACAATTATACAAGCTTGCGTACTTGAAAAATTATAATGCCAAAAATGTCTCAAAAATGAGAGAATTTTTCTAATTTTGTGAAAAATTCGCTGCTCAAAGTCGATTTAAAATACATTTGTCTTCTACATTTTTTGAATTTTGGTGAAAATGGGCATAATGAGATTTATGCAAATGACGTGACACGCCTAAATGCGAGGATAGTAGGTTAAGAAATAATTATTTCGTAATTAAGAAATTCAACGAAACTATGTACAATATACTAGAAGTTTAAAAAAAATATATTTATCGCCCTGTTTAACACGGTGATAATACAACATCGATATTTATGTAGCGACAATTATGTAAACAAAAATTATGTAACAACATTTATGTAAACGACATTTATGCTATCCGACGAATATTTATGCGACCAATATGTCGTTACATAAATGTCGGTTACATATTTGTCACCCCGTCGTTTAACACAGCTAGAAGCAGAAGCCCAAAAATTTGCGGAACTCTTGGCGTCAAAGCATGCATTCATACGTGGTCCCCGACCTGGACAGAATTTGATCGGAATTCCGTGCGATAGTGGAAGCAAACTGTACCCATCGGATCCCTCCATTCCAAGTGCGGTTAGTAAGTGGTACGGAAATTCGCGGCCATACTGTGTTAACCCCGCCACTGCGTACGTCCCAGTGGGCGCTCCGCTCGGACATTTTCCCACAATGGTTTGGAAAGCAAGTGAGAAGGTTGGATACGGCGCGGCCGTCGCGGAGAATGGATTAATGGTCATTGTCGCCAGGTATTTTCCAGAAGCCACGGCAGATCCCGCCGCCGTGCAGAAGAACGTTCAGTGTGAAAGGATCCCATAATTTACATATTTACTTATTGAACATTCAAGAAAGTAATGGAATAACGGAAATTGAAATATTTTATGGAGTATGTTTAAGTATATAGTATTATGCAAATGCTTTATCCAACGATCTATGAATAAATATTCCTGCAAACAAACTTCTTCAGAATTAATTGATTTCTAAAGGCAGCATTATTTACATTATTTACGGGCCAGGTATTCTCCACCTGGAACGAATTGCGGAAAATCGCCTCCCACCACTAGCCTCCAAGTAATGGCCTCCGACCAATAGCCTCCTGAGGAAATTAGCCTCCCTTGCCAATTGCCTCCCAACCAATCTCCCCCACTCAATCGCCTCCTAGACTAATCGCCTCCCACCAAAAATCCTCCCGTGACAAAAGCATGCATTGCGTTTGGGAAGATTTCATCTTCATTAGGTTTTAATTGTTGGAGACAAATGTAGTCAAAATCAGTGACATTTCGGGGGGAGACTTCTATTGTTAGGCACGTTCAAAATGAAATTCAAGTATGTTTTCCCGGCTATGTATGTAGATTCCGTACACAGAGGGGAACTCATAGTCCAAAATATTACCCGTCTCCTCTTTTTCACCGTGATCATTGGCTACTTTGCATTTCCCGCCGTTGTAGCAACGCTCGTCTTCTTTAATCCATGCCAGCAACCATTTTTGGGATCAATCGTACTCCCGCCGAGTTATTGTCGGGCGGCGTCGATGCTTGGGAGACTAAGTTTGGCCACATTTGAATTTACCACGCTGTTCTACATGGCCATGATTGCAGGAATTTTTGTGGGATGCGTCCTCTTCGCGGGGATGATTCATTTGTATCTCGAGTCTGCAAAACTGTTTGGTATAATCCCGCCAAAATTTTTGAGACGGGTACCGGGAGCTTCAAGTGTTCGAGAAATTGTTCAATACCTGCGCGCCGGGTCGCATCTTCCCCACAATTGTTCTGGTTTTCCCCGCCGTACAGATTTTGGGAGGATTTGCATCCGCTCGGCTTTGTCAAGGTAAGAAATTACATATTCCTGATCACATTCATTCATTTTATAAATTCATGAACGATGAGTGAATAATTTTTTTCAAAATGTTTGAATGAAGATTGAGTATATTTTTATTAATTTCATATGCTTCAAATATGTATGAAAGATATTTATTTTCAAATCTTGCATACATGTGTAATGAATGACCAATTTTATCGACATAATGTACATAAATTATGCAACATAATAATGAATGATTTTGAATTTAATGAATTTTGAATGAAGTAATATTTTCTATGCAGGCATGAACCTACTTCAATTCGCCTACGGAAACCTTGATTGTGACGGGATTCAATCTTGTCCTATTTTCCGGAGCGGGAAAAATTTACTCGGGTAGTGTGAAATGGTTGAGAGGTTGTAACGCTGGGGAAAATACTCGCGTAAATAGAAAAATTATAGCTTCCCTGACCCCTCTGAAAGTCAAGTTTGGTCAAAATTATGTGGATGAGCTAACTCCACTGATTCCACAGCAGTTTTGCACGAGCCAAATGGTTAATTCGTTACTAATGTTTTAGGTTCGATTGCATGTTTTTTCTTAACGCTATGTATAAAATTTCATATGTATTCATTTATTTAAAGGAAGGAATAATTTATTCCTTCATTTTTTAATAAATTAATGAATCATGAAGTGAATAGATATTTGTTTATTTTATTGCGTGAACCAATATTGCATAAATTTGTATGTATTCTTTTAATTTTCGTGAAGAACAAATGAATAATTAAATTTGTTATTTACTTTTTACCCTATGCTTAATAAATAATATATAAATGGGGTATACTGGTTCGAAGATATATTTTACCACGGGGGGAAGCACTGGTGAGGTCGACGGGCAGAATTCCTACCCTTGCCAGTTGCTTCTACAGTAACAAAGAAGTTGAAGGTGATTCATGCTCATCATACATATTTACATACCCGAACCCCACAAAACGAACACATTCTACAGTACAGAACATATTTTCTTTATTGTCAATTTTGTGGTTGCATTATAATTGAAATATGTATACTTAAGGTCAAAACGTGCATATGTGACTAGATAGTACCTAGTAGATCCTACCCAAATCTGCGTAAAGAGATGTGTATGTACAGCATCAACAGTGATACAATGCACACACCAAAGAATTACCAAAATGCAAAAAATTACACTAAGCAAATATCCGGCAGCATGTGTATTTACATATGTACTTATTCCAATTCATATGCCCCTACTAGGTACATACATACGTCAAGCAGAAACAATTGATCATAAACGTTTACCCAGTAACAGACCTCAGTATGTTGAATAAATATTCGTACTTAGTTACAACCATGCAACTAATATGTTACGTTTATCCAAAAAATCGTATAAAACTCCCCCTTTGGTCACAAATAGTCACAAAACTTTCAAGAACTTAATCATGAACTCAGTTTTGCTCTCGGTAGCCGTATTGGCTCTGGTAGGATGGAATTCTGCCCAGATACCGTTTCCACGTGGAACTTGTAGCGCGGCAAAGCCCGGTATCCCGGCAGACATTGCGGTTCAACGAGAAGCCGCTCTTCAAAATGGGAACGAGTTCAGAAGAAGACACGGCGCCAAGCCACTCACTGTGGATTCAACTGTAAGATAATCGCTCTGTTTGTAAAATAAGATTAGCTAAATAATTTTTTTAATGGTAAGAAATTTGGAAATTCCGGGAAACTAATTTGTTAACATCTTCTTGTACACCGTTAAAAATCTTGTATAATCCTGTGTAGAATCTTGTACAGAATAATTTCTGTTAAAGTAGAATTATAGAAGCTTGCGTACTTGCTAAATTATAATGCTAAAATGTCTCACAAATGAGAGCGTTTTTTAAATTTTGTGAAGTCGATTTAAAATACATTTTTCGTCTACATTGGTTTAATTTTCCTTGTGCCGAGCAATCTTAAAAGGCGGATTATTCTCGTCAAAAAACTCGGAAATTGGAAACGGGTTGAAATAAATATTTTTCTTTTATATTTAAGAAGACATTAGTTTTTTAACTGGTTTTTATTAAATATAATTATGAAATCAAAAAGAAAAAATTTAACTAAATGTTGCGTAGTACATACGAGAGAAGTCAAGAAATTAATATTTTTAGTTAAGAAGTTCTTTAAGAAATGTATTAAAAATTCATAAGTATGAGAGAGGTATTATGTCTCAAGTAGTAAATTCTTTAAGAAATTTAAGAAAAATCAGTAGCACGAGATACATTGGTTAAGAAATAATAATTTTTTAATGAAGAAATTCAACGAAACTATATGTACAATATACTAGAAATTAGAAAAAAAATATTTATCCCCCTGTTTAACACAGTGATACGACATATATGTAAACGACGTTTATGTAAACGACAATTATGTACCGACATTTATGTAACGACATTTTTGCTCCCCGACGAATGTATAAGTGACTTATGCAACGAGAATTGTGTTACGACATTTATGCTCCCCGACAAATGTATAAGTGACCAATGTGTCGTTACTTAAATGTCGGTTACATATTTTTCTTTACATACTTGTCACCCCGTCATTTAACGCAGCTAGAAGCAGAAGCCCAAAAATATGCAGAACTTTTGGCCTCAAGGCGAACATTCGTACGTGGTCCCCAACCTGGACAGAATTTGATTGGAATTCCGTGCGATAATGGAAGCAAACTGTACCCATCGGATCCCTCCATTCCAAGCGCGAATGTTCATTGGTATGGAGATTTTCCACCCTACTGTCATAATCCCGCCACTGCGTACGTCCCAGTGGGCGCTCCGCTCGGCAATTTTGCCACAATGGTTTGGAAGGCAAGCGAGAAGGTTGGATACGGCGCGGCCGTCGCGAGTAATGGATTAATTATCATTGTCGCCAGGTATTTTCCAGAAGCCACTGCAGATCCCGCCGCCGTGCAGAAGAACGTTCAGTGTGAAAGGATCCCATAATTTACATATTTACTTATTGAACATTCAAGAAAGTAATGGAATAACGGAAATTGAAATATTTTGTGGAGCATGTTTAAGTATTATTATGTAAATGCATTGTCCAACGATCTATGAATAAATCTTCTTGCAAACAAAAGCTATTCAGAATTAGTTGATGGGGGATTTGGGTGGGGGTGTTTGTGGAATTATAAATGCCGGATTCCATAGCATGGAAAAGTTACATATCTAAATTTGCAGTCAATATGTTAACAAATTCCTATTCCTACAAATTTTGTATTACGGAGATTAAGAGTTTACCGAATTAAGCCTAGTACCCAAGACGAATTTTTTACGTCAAGAAGTTTAGCAAAAACGAGAACAAGAGACTTAGATAACTTGTTTTCAAAATCGTAGATAAAGCTAATTCGATACGTTTGCATGGTCTTTTTAATCAATCTATATTATAATTTCGAAAAGTCTGTCCCGTGAAATTTTCCGTGACATTCCTGCATTCTGATTGGTTGCCAGCTTTCTGGCTCCACCAATCAGGGAACAGATACGAATTATGATTATGATTATGATTATCATTATGATAATCATTATGATTATGATTATGATTATAATTATGATTATGATTATAATTATGATTATGATTACAATTGTGATTATGATTATAATTATGATTATGATTATGAATATGAATATGAATATGATTGTGATTATGATCATGATGATGATAAAAAAATTCCTCGGCAACATAAAAAAATTTCCCTATCAACATAAAAAAATTCTTTGGCAACATAAAAAAATTGCTTGGCAACATAAAAAAATTTACTTAGTAACATAAAAAAAGTTCCTTAGCAACACAAAAAAAATTCCTTAGCAAGATAAAAAAATTCCTTGGCAACATAAATAAATTTCCTTACCAACATGACAAAAATTTCTTTGGCAACAAAAAAATTTCCTTAGCAACAGAAAAAAATTTCCTTAGCAACATAAAAAAATCCCCTTGGCAATGTAAAAAAATTTCCTTAGCAACATAAATAAATTTCCTTGGCAACAAAAAAATTTCCATAGCAGCATAAAAAAAATTCCTAAGCAACAAAAAATTGTCTTAGCAACGCTAAGAAAATTTCCCTATCAACGTCAAAATAAGCTTATTTATTTAAGGTATTTCCCTTAGCGAGTCGAAAAAATTTCTTAGCACGTTTAGCGTTAAATAATTTAATGTGGCCCGTCTTTACGACGGGTTTATAGGCTAGTATGTTCATAAATTCCTAGTTTAACTATACAGTTACATACCTCACTATTGAACTTTGTTCAGTCTTCGACCAATCCTACCTCGACGAATGTTTAATTAACTGGATTCATACCTTTAATCTGTGTCTTTCCTCAAAATGCTTCCCGAAGATATCTACCTCATCAAACGTAACCTCAAGTTTGGTTCGTACAGGATGTTTACAGATTTTTGTGGAAAGACAATTACACGGATTACTTGTGAACGCATGATTCAATTTGCGTCAAATTTGGCACACTCTATCTCGATGGTCACGACCACATCTGCCCAAAGTTTCAAATTTCTATCTTCAAAGATGGCGCCCAAAAGTTAGCCCAAAGTGGACGAACCGTGAAAGCGGTTTCCAAAGCTAGTTTGGCCGCGAAAAGTGCCCAAACGATAATCCAAAAATCTGGAACCCATCTTATTGTGTCCCCCACTTATAATTGTATTAATTTTGTAATAAAACAACGGTAATTAGTTTCATCCGACCAACGTCTACCACGAAATGCATACCCCTCAGAACGGTGAATTCTGCCACCCTCAAGAACATTGACCACCACGATGGCAATCAGAATTCTAAAACCACAAGACAGGTCACAATGCAATCCCAGATGTCTCCTGGACACGTTAATAGTATTTTATGACACAATTTTAAAAAAGCCGTGCAGAGGAGGGCGAAAGTCCGCGCACTTAAATTTGCCCATCTGGTAAACAAAAAAACTAATAGTCGGAGGCTGTTTGAAGGTCATGTCGCGAATAAAAATTCCGAATTTGTCGTCACATTGATCGGGGCACTCGGCTAGATTCAAAACTATAACAGGACAAAAATAATTTGCTGCAAAACGGACCGAAAACAGATTTCAAACCATGGGTCTGAAAAGAAGGAGCAGTTGTGTGACAGATTTCTGGTGGTAGATGTAACGATGGACCCTGGAGTGCAAACGTTGATATCTGTTGCGTCTAATGCAAAAATAAACTTGAAGTACTTTATGGACAATGTTTTACATAAGTTGTTCGAGGTCAAAATTGCAAAGAAGCATTTTGAAGAGCCTGACAAAGTTTGCATCCACCACGAAGGATAAAGGTAGAAATAAGGTCGCAAAAGTCGCTTATGCCGTTGAGGCTGGAATTTGGAAATAATTTTGTGGAAGCGTTAACTCCACTTGTCGTGCAAGAATTCTGTGCTAGGCAGACAGTGTCATTTCTTCTTTTGTATCGGTAGTAAATATTTGTGCATAGTATTTAATCTCTGGAATGGGTAACAAAACTTAAAATATGAAATTCAAGTTGTATTTAGTTGTTAATTAGTGCAAGAATTTTGTGCGAGACAACGAGTGTGTACATATTGCAATAAATATACGTGTCTAATTATTTTCGTTATTATTAAGTTGCTCTTAGGCTCATAGGCTTGGCTAAACTTGAGAATAAATTAATAAATACATTATTCATGCGAGTCATGGATATGAAACAATTCGGTAATTTTTTTCGAATTTTCTTAACCAATTTTTTATTCAATTTTGGTTAAGTACAGATATTTAACTAGTTCATATTAATGAAAACTGAACGAATAAATTTCGCATTATGGTCGAGGCATTATTTATAATTAAAGCCATTTTACATAAGGAATGTATGCAAAAATGGCTTTAATTATGAATAATGCCTCGACCATAATCATTTCTCACCCTATACCTTATATTTATGTATATGTACACTCCTCAGAAAATTAGTAATTTCTTAAATTAAATGTATTAAAACTAATTTCTAAACTATGTATGTCGACAAAGTTGTTATGGATGTTCCTACCACCGATAATTAGTATTTAAATTAAATTTGTTCGCAGTCGAAAAGGTTGTTATTCGTTTTTCCGAAAATTCATATTTGCCTGATATCCATTGAGGGTATTCATTACGAGTTCGCATGTTCGCATCGCAAGATAACTTTTTCGAAATTGCGAATTTTGCGAAGCAACGAAGTGAAAACACTCCGCAATTGACAAAGTTCGGAAAATTTGGTTCAAATTTTTCGAATTTTGCAATGGGAAAAATTCGTAAATTTACCTTGGTTACCGAAGTTTTGCGTTTGAAATTTATCAAATAAGAACTTTTTTAAATCAAAAGCCAAAACTTCGGTAACTAATGGAGATTTATGGACTTTTCCCATTGCAAAATTTGTGAAAAATATTTTGCGAACTGAATACTAGCCCTCGAGATGCGCAAGTTCGCAAATGAATTGTCAAGCCAATTTTTTTGCGACCTTTATTTTTATGCGAACGTTGCGCACTCGAAATGAATGCCCTCATTATATTCATTAACAAAGAATGATATGCCATCATGTAATGTCCTAAATTACATCCAACCATTGAATTTTGGTCATTCTCCAATCAAGCCTACCTCTGCGACTGTTTATTCCCTTAGGAAATTGGATTCTGAAAATATCGCCTTTTTAATCTGCCCCAGTCCTTAAAATGCTTCCCGAAGATATCTATCTCATAAAACGTAACCTCACGTTTGGTTCGCAGTATCGATGTCTACCTTTAAAATGGGATAGTAAACAGGAGCAATTAGTCGTGCATGGAACCAATTCGCAAAAACTGGCAATATCAAGTTTATTTGTTAACTTGTTCGTACTTCTTGGTCGGCTTTTCTCTGTTGCGAAATCGTCAAGCATAGTCGCTCAGTCCGAGGCTGCCATAGTGGCGGGGATTTACTTGACCGGTTTCATACTAAGGTTTGACCATCCAGTCGACCATGTTGCCATACAGCTTGTTAACTTTTTGGTTGATCCAGACATCGATAAATTTGGTATGAGTGTACATAAATTATCAGTCGCCTGACAGAGGCAATAATTTTTAAATGATTTTTAACCGTGCAATTTTAATGAATTCTAGATCGCACCAGAACTCCAAAATTGCAATTGGGGATACGATTCTTCTACTGGGCTGCGGAGGTGACATGCTTCTTTATTTCTGCAATACTGGGAATTCTTTCGTTCCTAAGTCCGTGTCAACCCATCCTACTGAGCTCCCTTCTCTGCTCGAAGTCCAACATGGGACAAGGTCATAAGCATGTTTTGCAGCTAGTTTTCGGAACAATCGAAGTTATTTCGTTTAAACAACTCGCAGTTGGTGGCATTTACTACTTACTAACTGTGTTGCTCCATGGTATTTCGTTTTTATGGCTGTCATGTCAATCATTGGTTAAAGGATACAAATCTAGCTTCAGCATTGCCGAAACGATTAATAAGTACAAGGAATTAAAAGTTTACGAAAAAGTGTTAAATTCTTGCACAAAATCGAGAATATTTCTCACAACGGCGCTTCTCGTTCCAGCCATGCAAATTCTAATATGCTTCGCCTCAATACAATTGTTTCGTTCGGAACAAGTCAGCAACGTTTTAGCTTCAGTTTTCCAATGGATCTACTTTGTTATCCTGCTTTTTACAATTTTGATGTTTTCTGCGGCTGCGCAAATTAACAATTTGAGTACAAACTGGATCGCAGAATGTAGGCGGAGATGTGGAAACAAGTTGGAGAGGAGGACGCACAAGTCGCTGATGTCGTTGAGGTTGGAATTTGGAAATAATTTTGTAGAAGCGTTAACTCCGCTGGTGGTGCAAGAATTTTGTGCTAGGCAGACAGTGTCATTTCTTCTTTTGTGTCGGTAGTATGTAAGAGGGGAAAATTTTTCGACCTCCCCTCGTACATTGAGTGATAGATGTAATAAATCAATCAATGTACGAGGGAAGGTCGAAAAATTTTCGTGTTGAAAATGTTCCCTATTAAATGTTAATTAGAATTAATTATTAATTAAAATGTTCCCAGGCTTATCAATGACTTATGGGACAGTTCCATTTCTTCTTTTGTGCCAATAGTA